TCAGCACGCCCAACATTCGTATCCGCCGGCTGATATATATCAAGAGTTAATATAGTCGAAAAGTTATATTATATTAAATTTATATTATTGTATTTAATTTCCATTAAATAATAATATATATTATTATTTAATAAATTATATTCGTAAGCCAAATATATTACAAAGTAAAATATATTAAAAAACTTAATATTTTATAAAATTTAAAAATAAAAATAAAAAATTTTTATAAGTCACGTGATTCCCCTAATATATATTTTATTATTATATTTATTACTAGTATTAATTTAAGATATAATATTAACTAGTTATATAAAGTTTATTATTATTTATTTAGTTTAATAGTAAGTCACGTGTTTAAACTAATAAATAAATTAATTATTTTAATTTATAAAGGGGATTAAACCCCTAGCGTATTTAAATTATATAGTAAACTATACCACTAGACTATATAGGTTTATTATTACTAAATATAGTAAAAAGCTTAGTTTAAATGGAAAGAAAAATAAAAAAAAATAACTTTTTATTAACTGAAAATAGTTTTTAAAACCTCTTAGGCTTTCCTAAATAGGCTAGTTTTTAAAAGTAGGTATAAGTAATCTTTTATCTAAATAAATAAAATAAATAAAATAAATAAATTAAAATAAATTAACTTAATAAAATATATAAATTATAGAAATTATGTAAAACCTTTATTCTTATATTAAGCATATATAGTAATTTTTAGAATATAATCAAATAAAATAAATAAGGCCTTTAAAATATAAAACTTAATTATAGAATTTTATAAAATATTACCAACTTTTTTTAATAAAATAATTATAATTTATAAATATTTATAATAAATTTTATATTCAGAAACTTAGCTATTAATTATTATAATTTTTTTATTCTACCTTTTTAAATTATATTATATTTCTAATACTAGTATAATACTAAAAAATATAAATTTTTTAAAAATATTATAAATTTTTATAAATTTTGATAATAAATCTCATAATTTCTTAATTTATAAAACTAATTTAATAGATATTAACCTTTTTAGGTAGGATAATAATATTATTTTTAAAATAATATTTAAAAATTAATATTAAAAATTATTTTATTAAATAAATTTAAGTTATATTATATTTTAGTTATAACTCAAGTACAAGACCATTTAAAAAGAATTTACTTATTAATTTATAAGTAATAATTCTAACATATAATTTAATTAGTTATTTTATTGAATTTTAATTTTATTAATAAATATATATAATATTGATATTTAAGCTATTTTGTTTATAAAAGCGAGCTAAACTTAAAGCTAATTGAAGTAAAAAATAAAATAAAATAAATAATTAAATTATATGCTAAAATTAGCCCTAGAATTATTATAGTTATTTTAAAATTAATATTTTTATTTAATATTTTTTATTTAATATTTTTTATTTAATATTTTTTTATTTAATATTTTTTATTTAATATGTTTTTATTTAATATTTTTTATTTAATATTTTTTATTTGATATTTTTTATTAATAAATATAATATCTAAAAAGTTATTTATTTAATAAAATAATATAAAGATTACATTATTATTTAGGTATTATGAAGTAAACTAAGATAGAAACTTTTAAATTTTATAAATTGTTTAATCTTTTTAAATAAAGTATACTTGAAAAATATAAAGTATTAGAAATAATATATAATTAATTTATATAATATAAAATAAAATTATAATATAAAATCATTAACAATTATTTAGGGTAATATTCATTTATAAAAAATAGAAAAAATTATTATAAGTTTTAATAAAATTAAATAAAATATAAAAATAGTTATATAGTAAACTCTAATTATATATCTTTTTATTTATTTTAATATTTAATATTTAATCTATTATACTTTTTAAGTTTTTTTTTAAAAAAAATAATACTAAGAATATATTATTATATATAAATATTTTTTAAGAGAACTCCTAATTATACTATTAAATCTAAGTAAATCAAGCTTTATACTAAAAGCTGTTTCTAATAATTCAAAATATATTATTTTATTATTTTATTATTTTATTATTTTATTATTTTATTATTTTATTATTTTATTATTTTATTATTTTATTATTTTATTATTTTATTATTNATTTTATTATTTTATTATTTTATTATTTTATTATTTTATTATTTTATTATTTTATTATTTTATTATTTTATTATTTTATTATTTTATTATTTTAAACTAAGCTATAGTAAGCGTCTAATCTTATATTTTAAAAAGTTTATATTAAAATTTCAAAACATATTATTATTATTAATTTTATTTTATATTTTATATATTTTTATTATTTAATTATATTATTTAATCTTTTATATTAAGCTAATTATTATATTATATACTAATATTATATAAGTATAAATATTTATATAGGTAATATATTTTGAAGCCTAAATATATTACTAGTATAATATTAAGAGCCCCCTTTTAATATATAATATATTAAAAAGTATAATATATATTAAACTACCTGATATATATTAGACCTGTAAAATACATATTAAACCTATAAAATATATATTTAGGTGGAATGAATATATATTTTTAATAAAAAATATATAACTTATATTAAAAAATATATATTAATTATTATTATATTTTTAAAATTCAAAATATATTATTATTAATATAAGTTATTATTTATTATATTTTTTTTAAATAAATATATATATTTATTAATAAAATATATTAATTTAATATATTATTAGTACTATATTAAACTTAAATTTAGGATTAAGATAATATTTATAATAAATTTACTATCAAGGCTATACCAGCACTATACTAAAAACACCCCCTCCGCCGGCACGGCTGATATTGATGTCATGGACATCTAGACAATATTAGATAGTCACAAGAATAAGTGCTGGCAACAATATGCTGCTATTACCGCTGCGGCATGTGCCAAGTCAATTGAGGAATAAAGAGCATCTTGATTGCATCCTGGTGAGCAATCTCTGCTGGGGGGGATCTGATCTAATATTTCTAGTGATACAGGTTCAAAATGTACCAAAAAGTCGGAAGCGTACTTGACCATGATATGAGGGAGAGCTTGAGGGACGCAACATCTAATAGTGATTCTGATCCATTTGCCCGGGTTTGGCACGAAAGTACACAGCAGCTGAAAGTAATCCTATGGGATACTGCCACAGGGAGTGTTAAGCATACGCTGGAATCATCGTCTTTAGTGGGCGGGCCTGTTACTTTTGCCCACAGCCAGCTTCTCATTGCGAGCGGTAGAACTCAGGTTGGAATATGGGATTTTGGGTCACCCAGTCCGAAATTCACGTTCAACCGGGAACCTGAGCATACAGGAAATGTTACCTGTCTTGTCTTCTCCCAGGACGATAAAACAATTGTCACCGGCTATTATGATTCCGAAATCTTTATTTCCAACTGCACATCCGAAGAGTTGCAACGCGCGCTTGATTTCCAACTTGGCCCTGTTAACTCTATCTCGCTTTGCCCGACATATCATATATTAGAAGTGGCAGTAAGGCGCGACCCCCGAGGGGCATGGGTGTTGGATGCGCACAATACAGAACCACTTCAATGTTTGCTACTTCCGTACCGCGAGTCGATTACCCAGACACTTACCTTCTTGCTGGGCGTGGGATTATTGGCCGGGGTCAGTTATCACGGACACCTTTCTCTGTGGAACACGAGCACCTGGTCAGTCCAGCTAACTCCTGTGATGCATCCAGCTGCTCTCATGGAAGTGAAATTTTCTCCGGAAGGGAACCTCATAGCTACGGCCTCACGGGATGGTACTCTACATATTTGGAATCATACCCAGGACCGCCTCTCGGAAGGATTTGGGCATCATCAGGGTTATGTCCATTGGTCACGATTCTTACCCGATGGGCGAATCTTAGTATCGTCATCTGACGGGGCACTTCGGATTTGTTTGTTCAGAAGGGGGCGAGTCGTCGCTGTGGGATCTCTCAGATATACCATTATCGAGTGATATGACACCCAGTGCGTCTCCAACATTCAGTGAGGCCTCGATCCGGTCCTCGTCGCTCGAAGAGGTGCCCCCATCCTCTGCTTGATTTAATTCAATGTCTATTGTGTCCTCACCCGGCGATCAGACATCCATCGAGCCCAATGTGATCGACGAATCCGATAACTGGCTCATCAGCCCCAGAATGTTTCTACCTGGGCCTGAGAGAAACTGGAAGATCCGAGGACGCTGGATCACATATATGGATAATCCCATTCTGCATCTCCCTGAGGATCGCCGGATGAAAGACTGTGACATCTTCGGAAACACCATCGTCATTGGGTCTCCGTTCGGAATTGTCACTGTCCTCAAGTTTAGGGACTTGGAGAGGTTTGTTGTTGAGTCCTAGGTAACTCGAGGGTTGCGGCAATGGATTTACGTTCCCGATTTAATGTCGATCAGGGATCGACTACACCTCCTCGATGCGGCGGTGTCTGGCCAATAGGCCGCCCATTCACAGGTGTATACATGACATAAGCCCTAGGGCAATTAACTGCAGGTTGTTTACACAACAATTTGCGACATCTAATCGTTGATTGACATAAACTTGATTGATATATTTAGTATTGACTTCGAGCTTCCGGTGAGTACTTGATGGGAAAGGACCCCCCATTGCGGGTGACGTGCCTCCTTCCATGTAGGGCTTTCCTGCTCCTGCCCACCGCACCATCTTCCAATCGGTCTTCTGCCCCTCTCTTTGCCTCTTCACCATTTTTGCCTTGCTTTCGTTCTCGAGTTGGAGGCCATCGTCCACATTCATTCATTCCATCTATTACAACCCAGCGTCTCCGCGCATCTTACTGATTCATCTTAACATTTCATCTTCATAGGGTATTCTACCAACGCATCTTACCCCCGCAACACCATCCACACGCTTCGAAATGACGACGGTAAACAACGGCGACAGGCCATTCCGGTTTCTGGATCTTCCTCCTGAGATCCGCCTTATTATCTACAGAGATCACTTCACCTCGAAAAAGCTGAAGTTCCGCAGGCTGCCCAAGTGGCCCACCTACTACAAACTGGAGAAACCTGCACTGGACAATCTCGCATTGCTGTACACCTGCAAGCTGGTCAACCATGAAGCCCGGAACCTATGGCTGGGCCAGGTAACCTTTGTCTTCCGTGTGGTCGAGGACATGCTCAAAACATTCTCCCCACTGCCTATGGAGACTCTATCGAGAATCCGCTATGCAAATGTCAAGGGTTATTCTTTCACCCCCATCGCGTTGTCCGCAAGAATTTTCCCACAGACCTACCACATCCCCTTCGTACTCAACCTTCTTCCCGGCCTGCGCCTTGATACACTTACCGTCATCGCCGTGCAGTACCCTGAGTACCTCTACGATACTATTACGGAGTTTGTGAAGTACGGCAGTGGATGGCGCAAGCTGATATATCACGCAAAGGACTCTCAACTGCTCGCCTTCCGGAGAGATCCTCGCCTTAGCAGCTCATCCGACGACGTCGCGAGATCTCGCAGACCGCAACCCAGCACCTGGCAGCAGCAGCTCATCGAGCGCGACGGAACGGCCTCAAACCCCTCTGTCACCATTTACCGGTCCACGAAATCGCGGTTGGCCGGCTCGGTCCTGAACCCGGATACACGCGAGATATTCGAGCAGAAACTACAGCCTGGCCAGCAACCGGAAGACTTCGAAATCCACGGAGACGCCCTCCGCGGCGACAAGGATCTTCAGAAGGAGGTGTTGGTCGTTATACAGCGTGGCAAGAATGCCGACATCACGGATCTTGGTCAGCCGCCTTACCCTCCTGGCGATATCCGGCAATTAGTACCCAATAACCCGGTCTGGTCGGAGCTCCGGCGGCTGTATACTTATCTACAGATGAGCTCGCGATTGCCCCGGAGCCGGTGGTAGATGAGGGAACTCTGAGAAGTGGAAACCCTGGTGTCTACGAGCAGAGACGATGGAATTTCTCGTTTCTCTATGAGTCCTCCGGATGCAAAGGGCTGCGTGCCCATAGGTACCGCGTTGCTGAGTATTATTATCGATTATCGGGCTGGTATCGCCCTCCTGAGCATTAGAGAGAGCGTTGGATATGGTCTGGGCTTGTGGTGCACTACACTCCGCGACAATCGTTTTGTTTTCATCATAAATGTCATCAATACTTCACTTGATACACAATGCTAATAGTGTTACAATCGAACGGCAAGCTCCTTCACTCTTTGATTTCGTTCTTATGGAATACATCTACTAGCGTTAGCTGTCATCACCCATGCAGTCAAATCGGACCAACTTACTCTGTATCTCCGGCATCCAGCTCGCCCTATACTTGCAGAAGAACTCCCCCTTGGGCGGTAGTACCTCAGGATCATCCAGCGACCCAACAACGATATACCGGAACTTATCCTTCACGGCGTCCTGCTCCCGTTAGCGCTGCCCCCTTGATTGATGGTGAGAGTAGATACATACCCCATACTCGCAAATAAAACTCCCGCAATTATCGCAGAACTCCCGATGCACCCCGTTGTCCTGCACGAATTCCTTCGCTTTGCCGGACGTAATCTGTAGTGAGTCCTTCGGGATCTTCGCGGTGAGCCCGTAGTTTGCGCCGAATGCTTTCTACGCCCATCGTTAACTTTACCCCTCGGACACTGAGAAGAGGGGTACTCGGGTAGGGATTGCGGACCTTGCAGCTTTGGCAGTGGCATAGACTTGTCCGTGCGTCGTCGGGAGAGGAGAGGGAGAGATTGTATTGGATTCTGCGGCAGGTGCAGGAGCCGGTGTAGGAGGGCATTTTGCGGGCGAGGGAGAGGAGGCGGCGTTGGATTGTTAGGCTCATGGGGTAGTTTGAGGACCTTGGGGTTTGGATGAAGAAGAAAAAGGGAGAGGGAGATAGTTTGTGAGGTGATCGGAGTGGGATTCCGGGTGTAAGGGTGACGTCATGGGATCGGTATGACATGTTGAGGGGCCGGGGTTGGAGAGCGTTGAACACCAAGTTTAATAGTTCAAAGACTGGAATATCCGGCCAGAGAGGGCGGATGTTGTATTGTTTGTGAGAGAGGGTCCGATGCTGGATGCCTTGCACAGGTGCTGGGACATTCACTCCTTTGCTCTCCCCAAGGACCTTACAATAACCCTAATGGTACTTTCCATTAGTAGGCTAGACGCAATAGTCGCGTAAGATTCCTCGAGACCACGAAATTAGAAAACAGTAAGCCCTCCATCAACAACAATATCCGCCCCCGTGATATAACTCCCTGCACCACTAGCCAGGAGCACAACAACCCCCGTCAACTCCTCCGGCTGCCCCATGCGCCCGAACGGCATCCGTTTCGCCCATTCCCGTCGATGCCCATCAAGCCCCTCCCCTTCGTTAAGGATGGTATCCATGTACCCAGGAGAGATACTATTAACCCTAATCCCGAGGCGCGCCCACTCGGCCGCAAGCGAGCTCTTTATCGACAACACAGCCGCTTTAGAGGCGTTGTAGTGCACCTGCGGCTGGGGGAAGTTCACAATGTGTCCTGATATACTCGCCATGAGGATTATACTTCCTCCTTTGGAAGACTCGTGCGCCATGTACCGAGCGACAGCCTGCGCGCAGAGAAACACACCCGTCGTGTTCACAGCGAGCATTTTGTTCCATTCGCTCACGGAGATGTCAAGCGCGTGCGTGGCGCCAACGATTCCCGCGAAACAGAGTAGGATGTCGATTGAGCCGAGGGTGTCGTGGACTGTTGCGACGGCATCGGCCACGGAATCGGGATCCGTGATGTCGACTTTATAGAAGGTGATCTTTGCGCTGGGAAACTCTTTCTTCAACGCATTGACCGTGTTTTGAGCTTCGTTGGGATGTAGGTCAAAGAGTGCAAGGCCTTGCAGGCCGTGTTCAAGGAGGGCGCGGCACGCAACGGACCCGATGCCGCCTGCGCCGCCGGTCACGATGGCGTTCCCGGATATGGCGAAGCGGTCTCTGGCTCGTTCTGCGGGCAGGACAGTGGGAGGAGCTGAGGTGGGTGCGGCGGTCTTGGATGTTGCGGTGCCGGTGCTTAGGGTCATGGAGGGGGGGTTGCGGGAGGTGAGTTGGGAGCGGTCGGTTGTCATTTTGTTGGATGGGATTGGGAAAGTACCCTATGTTGCGGAGGATCTTTTGAATTAGGGTATCTAAGGGACGAAGCGAGGGTGTTGCGGGTACAATGTAGGGGCAGGACGGTCAATTGTATTGATACCATAGGTACTTTCCATGTCTACTTGCATCGTTCCCGTCACTTATGCCTGGATGGAATGTTCAAAACGCGGGACGAAGGCCGAGGCCTTCTCCAACATGGACAAGGCCTGGACCACCAATGGACTGCGCGGGACTGTACAGTACGAAGTCAGAAAGCTGGCAATGTCAGCAAGCATCATGCATGCTGTCAAGGCGCAGGATTTGGAGTACGCCTCTCTACCAATCGCGAGCCAGTACGATTGCGTAGGGCGCTGTTTAGCGCATGGGACTGTACAGTCCGCGCAGTAGGGCCATCACTAAGGCGAGGACTGTATAGTAACTTCTCTGACATTATATTGGCACTCGGTACTACACCGAGGCCGTCTTAATAAAATGACTGTTGATTGTCCATGGGCAGTCTCTATACCATCCGGATAGAACGCGGTGTACCTTGAAATCGCGTACAAACCAGCAACCGCCATGAAGAACCACCAGCAAGCAAAGTCCTGGCTGGACATTTTGCAGGAGCAGCGTGAGCGCTTTTGCTTTTGTGCTGTCTGGAGATATCTAACATATTCCCACCTGCAGTCAAGGTTGACATCGACTGCATGGACCCAAATGAGACACGGAGACTGCTCCCCTTCAAACCGCACGACCAGACGAGCAACCAGCGCCTTCCCTACGAGCAGATGGTTGCCCCCGAAAACCAAGAGTTGTTTCTGGAGACGGCGAAGGAGCTAAAGGACAAGGGGTGGGAGGCTATTCTTGAGCAGATGGTATGTCGCCCTTATTTCTTGTTTACTGTCCTACCATAAGCCACTGGGACTCACGAGGTGGCCATTGATAGAGTGCACAGCTCTGCGCAAAGCACATCGCCAACATTCAAGGCCGCGTCCTCCTTCAAACCTCGGCGTCCTACGCATACGATACCGAGAAGATCGTAACCCAAGCGCGATCCTACGCCCGTGAACTCGAGCGAGTCGGCATCACCAAGAATAGAATCTGTATTAAGATCTCTTGCACCGGACCAGCTCTGGCCGCGAGTCACATATTACTAAAAGAGGGAATCCGCACGCTGGGGACTTCGCTGTTCTCCGTTGCCCAGGCGATTGCGGTAAGCCAAGCGGAGTGTCTTTCCATCAGCCCGTACTATAACCGTGTGTACTATAGTCCACCCCGTTAATGGCAAGGTGGCTCACTCCTTCCAGTGCCCTGGTACCACTCGAACCCCGACCTCTGGCCTGACGTCGAAGACCCAGCGCTCGAGCATCCCATGACGCCGAGAATCATCCAGATCATGCAGACTTATCGGCGACTGGAGCGGGAGACGGGGAGGGCACAGCCGATGCTGAAACCCGCTAGGTACCATGCCTTCCATCATGCGTGTCAAGAGCCATCATCTCACCACTCTATAGTTTCAAATCCGCACGCGAAGCCATGGCCATGGGCGAACTGGGCTGCGACCACGCAACTATCCCCGAGGATATTCTCCAACAACTGTCTCTGTTGCGCGCGGACACTAATCCACCCCCTGGATATCCATATGGTAGTGCGCACAACGGAGGAATCCCCGCCCGTCTCGCGCATTTAGCTGACACTGATCCCCTCGCTGGGCGTGGTTGGGATGCAAAGCTGGCAAGGGCAGACATCGATTACCTATCTGACAATGGGGTGGCCTTGACAGAAACTATTGAGCAGGACCCGGTTACAGCGCGGGGGTTGCATGAGGCGCTTGAGGCGTTCAAGGCAAACGAGGTGCAGAGTAGAGTTGTTATCGAGGAGGTTTTAAAGCAGGTATAGCTTTACTATAGTGGATGGTAGGTTGCTTTTTAAACCTTATTCTGGAGTTCTGTGGTGCTTTAACCTCCAGATGAGATGGCCTGTTGAAATAGCTGGTCTACTGTAACTCCCCAGCGTCTATACTGCCCAATTAAATGGAAGACCAATCTAGTAAAAGCTAGTAGGCAAGGGCTATAGTGGGGCGAGCAGTATACTACACTTCAACAGAAACACTAAAAAAAAATAATTCAAGTATTATTATTTTCTGCAAACTATAAAAGAAACAAGAAACAAAGCAAACTGTTAGCACCACATGCGAGACCCTCTCCCAGAAACAAAAATGACAGATTAAAGAGCAAAACCAAGAGGGATACTAACGTAGCTTCCAAGGTTATAGGTGACTTTAGGTGCTTGGCATGAAAACCTTTAACTTAATATCGTTCCAGCAGGCCTTGGAGTAGTGTTGATAGTCATCTTTGGGCTCGCCTAGCTAAGCACTGGCCTTACGTAGTATAAAAGCAACCTCGCTGGAAACATCCTTTTAAGAGGTGGCATGGCCAAGTGGCGTCTGCCTGATTTCATCTGGCTAATTAACATCAGCACCAGCTTTGATTAACATCTCCACAAGGTCCTTGCGCTGCGCTCGAGCCGCAGCTGCTAGTGGTGTAATTCCCAGCTTGTTAGTATAGTTAATAGCCTCTGGACGACGGGCAATCAGCATCTTGGCGGCGGCCTTGTGATTGCACTCGACTGCCATGGTAAGCGCGTAGTTTGTCTTTTGCTCGGCTGTTGGATCCCTTGGATCCCAATGTTGCATAGTACCCGTCACAGTGGCCCCAGCGTCAAGAAGGAGCTTGACAATCTCAGGAAACTCCGTTGCATAGGCTATTGGTGTTGCCCTCAACTTATTGGCTTGGTTAACGTTGCATTTATGGGTAAGTAATAAGCAAATTATTTTAATATCCCCTTCCGCAGCTACAATGTGTAGCACGCAGCTTTTATTAATCTCTTAAACAAAGCTAGGGTTAGCACCATGGTTAAGCAAAAAGTAAATTACCTTAGGGTGGTGGTGCGCTTGTGGGCCCTGTAAAATAGGGATAAAAAAGTCCCTAAATAAATACTTATGGGAGTAGCCTGATAATATAGCCTTGTAAAGTGGATTAAAATGCCGGGTCCTGTTAACATCGGCGCCCGCATTAAGAAGCTGTCTTATAATATTAATATCCCTATTTTCGGCTGCGCAGTATAAAGGTAGAGTGAGCATACTGGCGTTTATTATGATAGTACGGTGCTTGAGCAGGACAGCTACGGTGCGGGAGTGAAGCCCGTAGACAGCTTTTGTCAGCGCGGTGGGTCCATGTGTTTGCTTGTTGCTGTTGTTGATGCCCTCCATGCCGAAGTGCGAGACAAGGAACTCTACCACATCCGCCGCGCCTTCCACCGCAGCCCAGTGCAGGATATTGTTTTTACTAAAATAAACAGGCTTTCCCGACCATAAATACCCGGGGAATTCCTTAAGCTTAGCCCCTTAAAAAATTAAAAGCTTTATAACCTTTGCTTTATCCATGGTAGTTACCTTAATTAAAGCCTGGTTTATAAATATCTTGGCCCTATTATCTAGTATTAGGGTTATAATTACACAGCAGCCATTACGCGCGGTTATAAAAAAAATAATATTATAAAAGGCTACATCTTGCCTAACCACCGGGAGGATATCCTTAATAAAATACTTTATAATCTTGGGGCGGTTCCTCTTAGCAGCCTAAAAAAAAATTTTTTACTGTTTCTTAACCCGCCAGCTCTCACGGTTTATATCTAGGGCTAAAAAGCTAATCCCTAAGGCATGGTAGGAGTTTTTAACAAAAGCAGCAAGATCGCGAAGTTTGCTAACGGCAAGGACACCTTTAGGGATACTCCACATCGCTGGAGTGGAACAAGTAAAGTTCAAAACAGGCATTTTGATAAGTAGTTGTGTTAGACTAAATCTGATCTGGTGAAGATGTAGACAAGGTCGGATAATACTCTGATGGAGTAGTTGTGACAGACAGAATGTGATCTGGTGAAGGTGTAGACAAGATTAGATGATATTCTGATCTCGGCAGGAAAACCATGCTACTTTATACTGCGTTGTCTTTGTAGCTGGTTTAATTCCTCGAGGGTTAAACACGTTTTTGGTAGGAGATAAATGGGCATTTAAACAAAAACATTACCTAATAAAGGCAAGAGGAGTGTATTAGAGAGCAGCAAAAGAATCAGGGGTCATCTACTGCCCTCACCCTTAATCTCAGGTACAAAGTCCTTTCACATGTCTTTGCGACTTCCCATTGTGGGTTTCAGCAAAAGAACACAAGGAAGCGAATCTGCCATGTTTCTGCCTGAATAAATGAAAGATCTAGCTTTGTTCATCAAGAAGAAAGCAGACTGTCAATTTGCAATTTCTTTGACACGCCATGACATACGCTGAATGAACTTGGCGTTGTACGTGACTTCCCATTAAGGGTCGTGAAAGAGCACAATGAAGTAAATCCGCCAATGTTCTATCTGAGAAAGTAAATCAACTAAGTGTAGGCTGCAGGTTGTTTGATATTGCATGGGGTTTTAGGCTCAATAGCTCATAATTGCATAGGATTGTGTGAAGTCCACGCTCACTTTCACTGCCAGGTCATCCAGAAAACCTCGGTTCCAAGACCCGTATACCAGCAAAAGTAACAAACCACATCGAAATCAACCCTAAACCACTCTCTCCCCAACATTCATCCCCGTCAAACCCAAAACCCCCCAAAGACAAATCACCAACCCACTCACCCCCCGAAAAACCGCCTTCCCGGGCACCCCAGCCTGATAACAAACCCAGGCATCGACGGCACCCACATACCCGCCCATAATAGCAAGGACGGTGTCGAATTCCTCTAATTTCCCCTTCGCATAGAGGGTCCAGAGAACCAAACCAAATGCCGTGATGCGACCGCATTTCAGCACCATAATTGTCTGCGCTTCTTTTGAGGTTGCGATGGGCGACGGGAGCCCGAACTCGCGGATTGCTTTTTCGGGGGAGAAGAAGGGGAGGAGCCCGCCGAGGGTTGTGGCGGTTGCGACGAAGAGAGGTGGGATGTGGCTGATTGTAAAGTGGGTGAGCATTTTGGTGGTTTAAAAAGGCTGGTGGATTGTGGTTGCTTATGTGTAGATGGGCAGAGGATAGAAATTGGCAAGTTGCTAAAAACCGAGAAGCAAAGAAGGGTCGGGGAATCTTTTATATTTCTGTTAGATTTGGGCCCGGCTAAATAGTGTTCCTGAAACAGTTTCATTCTGCGCCCTAGCTAGTGTGCCAAGCAGGCTTAAGGTTAGCCATCTAATAGTATGCTAGCATACTCATAGTATACCGGATATGGCATAGACGGTATACAACTGCCGGGAGAGCTCAAGTCTAGAACGTCATCGGAGTTTGTCTCTGTATCACTAATCCTGTGCGACAATGGACCCCTCATCGGGGTGGGGAACAGCAAGTAAGCCCAACCCCAGCTATATAAGCCCAGCCGCACCCGCCATTTCCTCCGTCTTACATCCCTCAACCACCACCATGCCTTCAACCCTGAGCCTTTCGCGCCTCGCAATAGTACGCACGCCCCTCCCTATCCATCCCAAATACCTCCTAACAAAATGCAGTTCGCGGTCCTGGCCGCCATTTCCCTCCCCTGGCTGCAATCCCGCCAATACACGCTCTCCCTACTCTTCAAAAACAAGCCCGAGAATCTGCCCGAGATCAACGCGTTCTCCTCCTCAAGCCTAAAATTCACAGACAAGCCCGGCCTCCGCAACTGCGAGGATGGCATCGTCGTACCCGAAGACGGCTTCGCGATCCTGAGCTGCGATCCCGGTCGTGATCTGTGGAATACAGTCATGGGCACATTCTATCACGACCACGGCAAGATTCCAAATGGGAAACTTTGGCTCTACAACTACGCCTTGGACTTCGATGCTGCACCCGGAACCGAGGGCGAGAATGAGGATGAGCATGAGAACCAGACAGAAGAGAAAATCGTGCAGCAGATCCACTTCACCGACACACCACCCAACTTCTCCTTCCACCCGCTAGGCATCGACCTCCACCGCGCCTCAAGCACGCTCTTCGTAGCTAACCACGCGATCGACGGGTCCCGTCTCGAAGTGTTTATCCTCGACACGAACGGCAGAATCCCCGTGGCGCGATACGTCAAGAGTATCCTGCACCCGCTCCTGCCGGGTCCGAACTCGCTCATCGCGCTCAGCGAGCACGAGCTCTACGTCACGAACGACCACTACATCCTCCGCCGGAAGTGGTCGCTCGGCGCGCTGTTCGAGACGTACGCCGGTATCCCCGGCGGAACGGTGGTGTACGTGAATCTGAACGAGGAGAAGGAGGTCGTCGAGATGCGGAACGTTGCGCGCGGGCCGTTCGCGAATGGGGTTGCGCTGGTTAACGAGACGACTGTTGCGGTCGCTGTAACGGCGGCCGCGGAGGTGCGGCTGTATAAGAGGACGGGGGACAGCGGCTTGACGTATCTAAAGGCAATCAGGATGCCGTTCTTGCCTGATAATTTGGCGACTGAGAAAAATGGGTCCCTGCTTATTGCGGGACACCCGCATCCGCCGAGTCTGGATAAGACGGTTCATGAGCGAAGGGCTTGTATTGGGGCTGATGGGGTTGTGCCGAAGGAGTGCTGGAAGAGTACGGCGCCCAGTTGGGTTGCGAGGTGGAGTGAGGATAAAGGGGTGGAGAGTTTGTATATCACGGCCAGTGAGTTTGGGTCGAGTGCGACGGCTGCGAAGGATGTTGGCAGGAATGTGGGTATTGTGACGGGGTTGTATGAGAGTGGGATTTTGGTGTGGAGGGAGTAGGTACGGGTACATCTACAGATCCTGGGATGCTTAATATGGAATTTGGTCGGTATTGTAATTCTAAATCAGGATGCCAGGCCTCAAGACGTCCGAACGTCAAGGACGGCGCTTGGGAATGGCTTCATCGTAGGCAGAGATAGGTTGCTTTCGTCGTCCCCCAAACGGCAAAGGTCCTCCACAACCTCATCCATACAGGAATAAGCTGCGTCCCAACAACGCGTGATAACATGACGTAGCAGAAAATGTTCCACGTTCGGGTACTCCCTCGCCGCAAAACGCCGTTCGGCCGTCCTCATCAACTCAAACATCTCCATCGTCCCCGAAATCTCATGGAACGGCACACGTCCAGCTTCAATCTCAAACAACAGAGACCCGAACGCAAAGATGTCAGTGCGAACACTAACAGCCGACCCACCCGCACACGCGCACCACTCATAGCAAACCAACGGCGGCTCGTCGTCGATCCCCGACCCAGCAAAGTCAATGAAGCGTATGTGGCCCGATCGATCCAAGAGAAGGTTATGGCATCCGACGTCGGCGTGGATAATGCGCTTGCTGTGGATATAGCGCAGGCCTTCCGCGGCCTCCTGCGCCCAACGGAGTCTGGTGTGCTGTGTGATCGTTCCTGGATTGTGGCTCTGGATTATCGTGCGGAGGCATTCGCCTCGCTCTAGGATGAGGCCTTCGTTCGTGACGCCGCTGAGCACTGCGATCCGGCGGTGGGCGCCTAGCCGCTTGTATGCGCGGACTTCGATGTCGAACGCCTGCTGAGCAAATTCGTTTGATGGTGGCGGGCGGCGCTTGATGACATGACTACTGCCAAAGGTGTAGATGGAACTGACGGTTCCTATCGCGACGATTTCCTGCGTAGGTCCGAGTTCTGGCATGAGTGACATTAATCTTGTGGGGCAAGAAGGAAGAGGAATTTGCTGCAGATTCGTGTGACGGTAGCCCATCCTATGATTATTTATACATGGCGGGACAGAAAGACGGCCAGGATTGGCTTAGCGGAAACAATCATACCGGTACCTATACTTTAGCAGCCAATCGAGTACTGTATCAGCCGATGTCCCGTGAAAAGTCCCTGATTGTGCGAAGTTCCGGCTGCAAGTCCTTGGAGAGCTAGTCAAGGGAATAATATTCCTGGTCCAATAAGTCAGACTAATACTAAATTGGAATATTAAGGTTAATAAATATAAGGCCCTTTGTATACCATACTAACTAGTAAAGCTATTAATTAAATACTATAAAAAAAATAAAAAAAAAGTAAGTTATTTATTAAAAGCTAGAGCTACCTAGGGGTTTATATAAATATTTTAAGTTTTTAAAAATTTATTAGTAACCTAATTTTTTTACTAAAATAATAAGGTATTAAGCACCTTATTTTTTTATATTAACGCAGCATGTAAAGGCATTAATAAATAAAAACTTTATTAAAATAAAAAAATTTTACCTTTAGCTAATATATGTAGAGACCGACAAGTCTTAAAGATCTTTACTAATAATAAAGATATTAATAAAAAAATTTAACTAATAAAAATAGAGTATTTTAAACCCTGTTAAATAATATTAAAAAAGTTACTTAAAAATTTAAAAAAAAGGCTGGCCTTAAGGCTATTTTTATAAACTTTTAAGTTATATTTAAGCTATTTTTAATTAAAAAGTAAATATAAGTTTAAATATTTTATATATAAGTTTTTACTTTAATTTATACTTAAGGCCTACCCTAGCCTTGCTTAATTAATAATTAAAACCTTAAATATTAATAACCTAGTTAAGTTATATAACCTAATATTATAATAAAATATATTAAGCCTTAGCGGCCTAAAGCTAAAGCTTAAGTTATTTAAGGTATTAACTTTAAACTAATAATAGGTTAGCTTTAATAATATTAAATAAAAAAATATTAGCCCTAATAATTTTTTTTTAATTAAAGGGTTATCCGCGACCCGCTACTAAACTAAAAAAAAATAATAATAAAATACTATTATTATTATTAATATTAATACTAAATATAGCTTTATTATTACTATTTTTAACTTTATTAAAATATTATTTAATATATTAAATTTAATGTTTTATTTTTATTATTTATAGTACTTTAAATAAAATATAATATTTATTTATAACTAAAAAAAAAGGCGGCGCTTTAATAGTGCCTAGTATAAAAGTATAAATTATAATATAATTTATAATTTTATAAACTCCTAAACTTATTAAATTTTTTACTAAATAAAAAATTACCTTTTTTTATTATAACTAAAAAAAAAGCCCTTTCAGGCGCTACCCTAGCTTTTTAATAAGTAAAAAAAAGCACCTTATTATAACTATAATAATTTAAAATACCCCTACCTTTACCCCTTATACTCTTACTATAATATAATTATAAAACCTTTTTAATATAATATTTTTACTAACTTTAAAAGCTTTTAATATTTTTAATCTTTTTTTTATACCTGTTCCCCTTTAGGTTTAAAAACTTTAATTTTAATTAGTTCTTAGGTAGTAATAATAATAGTAATAATTAATATAATTTATATTTAATAAGCGCCTTTAAAATATATAATAAGGTTATAAATAATAATTTAATAAGTTTTTTTTATTTTAATAATTACTAACTAGTAGCGCTCCGCCGGCGCTTTATTAAATATATTAACTTTTAGCTTTATAATAACTATTTTATTATTTAATTATAGCCCCCGCGCCCCCTAGCTTACCTTTTTTATTTTACCTAGTATTATACTAGTTTTTGCCCTTATTAATACCCTTATTATAAGTTTTATATTATTACCCCCTTAAGCTTTTTTTTTTTTAGTTTTTAGCCTTTTTTTTATAAGTATACCTTATTTTTAACTAGTTTACTAGTAAAATAGCTCCGGTATAAATATTAGCTAATAAAAAATAGGTTTATTTATAATATGTAAAATATATTTAAACATGTAAAAATAATAGGTTAATTAATAGCCTTAATTATTATATTTATTTAGTTATTAGGCGTAATTACTTTTATTATATTTATATTAAGGGCACTTATCTCCCCTTATTATTTTATATAAAAAATATTATCTTTTTATAATAAATAAACCCTGCTAACTATAATAAATATATTTATTACTAAAATATATTTATTTATTAGGTTAAACTAGTAATAAAGGCCTATAAAAAAAATAAGTACTAAAGTTTAGGTAATAAAAATATTAACTTTAGCTATTTAAAAGCTTATATAATTTTTTTAACTTATTATTAAATAGCCCCTAGCCTATTTTAATAATAGCTAAAATAATTACTAGTTTTTTAATATTTTTTTTTAAAAAACAAGCTTATTATACCTTTTTTTTTAAAAAATACTAGGTATAAAAAAAGGTGTTTGTAAAGGCCCCTGCTTTTATTTTTAATATTAAATAATAATTTTTTATTATAGCTCTTACCGCGTAGCTAGTTATTATTTTTTTTTTTAAAAAAAAAAATAAAAGATTTTTTTTTAATACTTTAACTTTAGAATAAATATAGTTTTTTATTTTAAATTATAATTTAAAATAAGTTTTAATACTAAGCTAGTAGTAGTCTAGCTATAGTTTATTAAATTTTAAAATTTTATAAAAAAATAAAAAAGGTAACTACTTTACTTATAACCTTAGGTATAATTTTAAAATTTTATAAAATAAAAAATCTTATACTTTTTTAAAGCTATAAATAACTAGTAATAATTAAATAATAGTTTAATAATTTTTTAATAATACTAGTAGTTTATTAAATCTTAAAACCTAGTAAAAAAAAAGGTATTTAACTTAATAAAATTATTATTTTTTTTTTAAACTAGCGGCAAACTAGTATTATTATAGTTAGTTTTTTATAATTTACTAGGGCTTTTTATACATACTTAAAATTAAAAAGTAGTTTTTATAAATTCTTATAGCTAGGCTAGCCCTTTTACTTAATAAAAAATTTATTATATTTATAAATATATTATTTTTTAAAAATAGCCTTAACTTCTTATTTATTTTTTTATTAACTAACTTTATAATTAATAGTTATTTTTTTAGGCTTATCTTACTATATAAATACCTTTAAGAAATATAAAATACTAAATAAATCTTTAATTAACTATATATATTAATAAGCTGGAGCTAATACGCCTATTTTTAATAATAAATTTAATTTTAAAGGGTTTATTATACTTTAGGTCAAGTTGTTTATTTAAATATATTAATTTAATATTTTTTAAAAATATTAAAATATTATTTTTAATTTTAAATTTTATTAAATAATATTTTTAATTATAATAAAGTGCTTATTTTTTTTATACCTTCTTTATATAATCCTGCAAGTTTTTATAAAACTATTTTAAATAATATAAGCACTTTTTAATAAAAAAATAAAATATTAATTTTCCTAGGTTTTTAAGTCCAGGAATTATTAATTTTTATTTATAACTTATTATAAGCAAAGTATAGCTAGTTAAGTTATTTTTTAAGTTATTATAAATAAAGCATGCTAGTAATAAGTATAATACCTAATTACTTTACTAATAATTATAATACATGTGTAAATATACCTTAAGTATTTAATTTTAGTATTTAGTTTAATTATTTAATTAAAAATAATATATTATACTAAGTTATTACTTAATATATAGTGCTTAATAAAAGGTTATTTAATATTTTAAAATAAAAAATAAACCTTAATTTATTATTATACTCCAGGGCAACCCTATATTATATATAATTTTTTTAATAAATAAATTAGCTAACTTTTTTATAGTAATTTTATTAGTAATAAAAAGATATTTTATTTTTTTATTAAATTAATTTATAATTACTAAAATTATGTTATAAACGCGCCCTTTATACTTTAATAAAGGTAGGCTAATAATAAAGTTTATAAAAATATTTTTTTATAATATATTTAATACTAGGAAAAATATTAAACTTCCCTAAAAAAATTATTTTAAAACCTTAAATTTTTAGTATAAGAAATATTTTTTAATATACGTATATGTATTTTTATTAAGCTTTTTTTATTAAAACTTATAGGTAAGTAGTTTAATAGTTTTTTTATAATTAAAGTAGCTTATATAAAAATTATTATAATATTATTTTATAATTTTATATTATAACACGGGCACRGGAGGTATATAAATAATACCTTTATAAAAAAAAAGTTTTTTTTTATATTATTTAATAATAAAAAAGGCCTGCTTTAAATTAATAAGGATTATACTTTTAAGCTATTATTATAATTAGCTAGTAAAAGTATTTTTTTTATTAAGCTATAATTAATTATTATTAAAGGGTATTTATAACTAGTTTAATAGTTTTTTTTTTATTTATTATTTTTATAGTAAATATTTTAAGGCTTAAAAATTTTAGGTACTTATAAATTTAACCACGCGGAGGAATAGCTAGGTTTTTTAGTATTATTTTAATAATAGTTTATTAAAAAAATAAACTTAACTTTTTTTATAAAGTAGGAAGCATCCTAATTTAATACTTTTTATTTTTTATTATATAATTTAATTATTATAATAGTATATTTATTAAATTATACTTACCTAGCTTATACTTAATTTTAAAGTTATAAGCTATAAGTAATTTTACCTATTATATTTATTTTTAATTTAAGACTTTTATTATAAAAAAATAATATAGGTTATTATAATTATATTATATATATATAAAATATAAAAAGCCCTTAAAATAATAATATTACTTTTTAAAGCACTTAACTATTATAAATAATTTTTAATTATAAACCTTATAATAAAACTTTAGTTTATATAATTAATAATAATAAAAGGCTATGGGGCGCTACTAGTCCTATTTTTTTTATTAAATAATTTTTTTTACTTTAGCTATATAATAATTTTAATAATAATAAACCTTAACAC